TGCTGTAGGGGAGCATTGTCTTGATCTTGTACATTAGACCTTCTAGCCAGACTCTATCAAATGCTTGAGAGACATCTAAAAATATGGCAGTACAGTACTCATTAGGCATTTTTCAAAGAGTTTGGATAGGCAAGAGAGTAGGCTTATAGGTCTATATGACGTGGGGATAGTGTGGTCTTTCCCCGGCTTTGCTATCATTATTATAATTCACTTTTTCCATCTCACTGGAAAGTGGCCAAGTTTTGCGATGGCATTAAATAGCTGGGTGTGAGTGCAAACGGCGCAGTATGGGAGCTCAATGATCATTTTGGGAGTTATGAGGTCGCAGCCCGGGGATTTTTTCGGATTCAGTTGTCTTTTGATGATGTTAACGATTTCGTTTGGGCGAAACTCGATTGGCTCATGTTGAGGCTGGGGTTCATATGATAGAGTCGGCAAAGTAAACGCATTGGTGGCAGGATTTGGTTGGAAGACATTTTTAAGGTGTTTGGCAAACGTGCTGGCTCTGTCTGCGTCGCTGCGTGCCCACCCGCCTGTGGAATTTCTAATTGGCATCACGGTTTCTTTCGGTGAGCTCATAGTTGGGTGAGCTCTCCATAGTGAGTGTTTTGTACTGTTAGTTGACAATTGCTCTATGTAGCGGCGGCGGTTTCTTCTTGCTGTAGAGCTTGATCAAGTTGACGTGAGGCATGTTTTAAGCGTTGCTTAGCAGATGGCGATCTGTGACATTGCCATTCTCGACGTAAGCGTCGCTTTTCGAGGACGAGCTGTTCGATTTGTAGATTTGTCTTCTTTTGAATGTATTGTGTGTTTGTGGTTTGAGGTGTTGAAACTCGAGCTGCAGAGACGAGTACAGACTCCAGTGAATTAACAAAACTGTCTACGTTGGCTTCTTCGCTGAGGTGAGGACTCAGCTCAATGTGTGAGCTGATATACTTCCTGTACTTAACCCAATTGGTTTTATGTGAGGTCAGTTTTGATGAGTGATCCCATGTTCCTGGGTGTCGGAGTAGAGTAAAGAGGACAGGCGAGTGGTCAGATGAAATATCCGAAAGGCATTCGGCGCTTATCATATTTTTAGGAATGTTTTTGGTAATCGCAAAGTCTATTAAATCGGGAAGTTTCTTTGGGTCTGCCGGCCAGTATGTTGGAGTGCCAGAAGAAACATAGTCTAGCTTGTTCTTAGCTTTGATAATTGCATTATAGAGCTGCTTTCCTTTTGGGGTAACGAGACGAGATCCCCAGTGTGTGTGCTTGGCATTGTAGTCTCCTGCTGCTATGAAGTGGTCTCCGAGTGAGTTGAAAAACTGCATAAACTCATCTTCGGCTATGGTGAAGCGTGGGGGGCAGTATACGGCGGCAAGAGTTAATTGCTTGCCAGTATTTAGGTGTATATTTATTGAGGTAGTTTTTAGCAAATTTCGTATGGTAAAGGTGCTTAATACGGCTTCTGATTAAAATTCCAGTCCCGCCGTGTGCTTTACCATCTGGATGATTTGTTCCATAGAATGTATATCCTCGTAGTTGGAAATTGTATTTGTTTGTAAGATGTGTTTCTGAAAGCAGCGTTACGTCGATTTGATTGTCTAGCAGGAATTGCGCTAACTCGAGTTTGTGCTGCGAAACGCCGTTAGCGTTCCACGTAGATATTCGTAGGGAAGTCATTATTTGGATTGTTGTGAAACCAGCATTTGTATAAGTAGATTTTGGTTTCGCATTAGATCTTGCATAGTTGTACGCATAAAAGACATAAACTCCGTAAGGCTTTGTTGTAGACTGCATATCAAAGATTCAAAGTTACTTTTTGGCTGCTCCGGCGGTTGATGCTGCTGAGCCGTGTTCGGTTCTTGGTGTGCTGATTGCGGCAGTGAGATTTTTTGGGGCTGGGGTAGCCAGTCCTGATTTTAAAGCGCTTGCGTATGTGACATTTTTGGCAGAGTTTATGGGTCCTAGTGAGAACCTGGCTGCAGTCGAGAAGAAGACTTCAGGGTTTGACCTGGAGGCTATAAACTGATTATTTTGGGTGCGGGTAGATCCCCTCTGGTGGATGCGACTTTTCAGCTCCTTATAAACTGGGCAACCTCTATAGTTAGCAGTGTGATTTCCACCGCAAGTGCCGCACTTTTTCGAGTTCTGGTCATCTTTACTGGCTGGGCAGTGTGCGGAGTCATGAAGCTCACCACAAACTACACACACCGGGCGCAGTTTACAGTAAGACCTTGTATGGCCATATTCTTGGCAGTTCGCACATTGTACCGGGCCACTGCGTTTGTGCGGCTCCTCAACTGTAATTCTGCGGTGCAGCAGGAACTGAAGATTGTATATAGGGTGCACTTCGTATTTCTTTAGGGGCTTAATTTGTGGCTCGAGCTCAACCTTAAAGAGTGGCTGTGGCTTTCTATCCCTGTTAAGGATATTGAAGACTGTCTTGGCGCTAAATCCCTTCTCTTGTAGCGCCTTTGTTATCTCTGCAGGCGATACTTCGGGCTCTATGCCCTTAAGTACGACTTGCAGGCCCTTGCTGCTTTTTAGCTGATACGTGTAAAAGTTCTTTTTTTTGTCGGTGAGGTATTTCGATAATACTCTGTAATTATCTTCAGACTTCGTTTGAACTTTTGTTTCCTGGATATTGCCCTTTACGAGTGGTATTATGTGGAAGTTGTCCTTGCCAATAAGCTCTATAATTTTGTTGACAAGAACGTTGGAACTTTTTTCTCGTATGTAAATTGGCGGGGGCTTAGGCTTCCTTTTTTCGACTTCTGTAGATTCGGCGTCATCCTCATAGTCTGCCAAGATTTTAAATCGGTTTGAGTTCGTGGGCGTTTCTATTGCAGCTATGTTAGCATTGCCACGGGTTATTTTGCGTTGAGAGTTAAGAGGGCTCAGCTTCCTTTTCATTTGGATGTACCGATCCATACCAGTCTGCACAGCCGGCTTAGTATTTTCCTTGTTATTGTTATCTTTTTCGGGCAGCGCAGCGGCAGAAGTATTAATGTTTGCGCTGCTAACTGATGACGTCGTTAAACGCGCTGTCGTTACAGTTGCGGTTGTTGTTGTTGTTACGGTTGACGTTGTCAAAGAAGTTGCGGTGCTAGTTACAGCGCTCTTTGGCTGCAGAGACATCGATGGTAGCGATGGGGAGCAAGATCGCGCTCTCTCGCTCTCTACGTTTAAGAATTCGGTCAAGTTTGGGGTAATTGACCGTGTTTGTGATGAGCTTGCATTACTTTCGGTTGCTTTGAAAGTGAAGTAAGCGTTGTTTCTTTGTACTGAGAGCCGTCTCTCGACTTGCTCACGTTGACGTTGTGTGCGAACGTCGTTTAGACTCATTGCAATCGAGGTTGAGATTGTTCGAGTTTTAAGTGTTATGTTTTATATTAATTAATTAATTAATCAATATAAACATTAGCGATTTCATCGCTAAAAGCGTCTTTTCGCGTTGTTGTTGATTTTCGAAACCAGTCACTGCACTTTTTGATATTATTGAATACTTTTTCCCGGAGCACAATAAATACACGTCTGCATGCGACGACGATTCGACGAACGGCTAAGAATGTTAGCAATATTATCAACAAAAATAAAAAGCCGCAACCACTCTTTAAGGTCGAGCTAGAGCCAGATAGCAAAACCCTAAAGAAAAATGAAGTGCACCCGATCTACAAGCTGCAGTTCTTACTGCACCGGAGGATCACAGTGGAAGAACCACACAAACGGAACGGCCCAGTGCAATGTACAAATTGTCAGGAGTTTGGGCACACCAGGACATACTGCACACTTCGGTCAGTTTGTGTAGTCTGCGGAGACTTCCACAATTCCGCACACTGCCCTGCTAACAAAGAAGATCCCCATACAAAAAAATGTGGGAACTGCGGAGGAAACCATACGGCAAACTACAGAGGCTGTCTGGTCTACAAGGAGCTGAAGAGTCGCATGCGACAAACGACAGCTACGCGTCAACAAAATACACAAAATGTATTTTAAATCAAAAACTACGCCAGACGTATTTTTCGCCAAGGCAGCCAGATCTTCGTTCGGTCCGCTCAGTACCACCAACGGCATCTCCTACGCTGATGCTCTACGAACGGGCATGGAAAAACCACTCCAGCAAACGCTCAACAGGTACCAGCCCAGCCACAAAGCAATTTGGAAACTATAAAGTAAACCATGCAACACATCGAATGCAAGAAACTACAACTACATCCCAGCTCTGGGGCAACGCCAGCAAAACTAACATAGACATCATACAGCACGCTCAAGCAAAGATCCTGAGAACTATCACTGAGGCACCATGGCATATTCGAAACGAAAACATCCACAGGGACCTTGGCATTCTCGCAGTAAAAGATGAAATAGAGAAGCAAAAAGCGTCATACAAGGAAAAACTCACAGCACACCCAAATCCTCTTGCAAGGGATCTGACTCGGGTTTCCAGAAGAACCCGCCTGCAACGTAACGACCTTCCAACCCAGCCATAACTTGTCAGGGCCATTTTTACTGTTCCAGTCTATATGACTGATAGTTAGGTTATAGTATAAGATTTGATACACTAATTGTTAGTCTCGTAAGGAGAAGATTCAATAAACAAAGCAAAGCTAAAAAAAAAAAAAAAAAATTAGCTCAGAAATCGTGCATCCAGCCAAAATGCCATTTTGAAAATGGACTTGCAAAGGAATTGGTTCTTTGCTGCTCTGAGCACTAGTTCACAGCACTAAACATCTTATCTGAGTCATCTCAAATTTCTGAGAGATTTTCTTTTGTTCCAATTTGTTCTATCTTTTCAGAATAGTTCATTTTGCCATTCATCTTCCAACTTTCAGATTCTGGGAAATTCTGGGATTCCTCTAGTAAAGTTTTAGGCAAAATTATTGACATTTGAATCATTATTTATTCTTTTTTTCATAAATCTTTATTTATTTTACATCTAAAAGAATTCAACATCATTTTAAAAACTTTTTTCGGTACATTTTTTAATACGATTTGAACCGTTTTTGTTTTTGCAGGACATTCAAAATAAACTTAACATCGAATATAAAACTATACAACGTTTTTTCAATGTCTCATTGCCCCTTGAAAAGTTTGATGTAATTGCTATCCCCGATCTACCAAGTGTTCGATTTGTAAGCTGTTATGGTATGCTTATAGTAAGGTATGTAAATATTAAGTTTTAAATTTATTGAAAAGTTTAGATATTATTTTTATTTAATTTTCAGAGAGTCTGAACTACTAAAAAGTGGTGTTTTTGCTTTTTCGCGTGAACTAGTATATCAATGGATTGGTATTTGGATTACTCCTGATTGGTGGACAGATGCTAATTTGAATAAGGCGCTAATTAGTTTTATAGCATCAGAAATAACTATTGAAGTAAGTTTTTTTAGCTTATGCTAGTAATAACAGATGGGCATTTCCAGAAAAATTTCATCAACCCTATATAACAGTTTAAGTTTGTCTCGTCAATTGGTAAGCCGTTCGGGTTTTAATCCGTTTAGTACATTCCTGAAACGATGTGTGCTGACGATTTCAGAGCTATAGTTAATTAAAGTAAGGTTACGTAGGCCGCCATGTATATCCTAATTTGCTCAGAGTAGAGGGGTTCATTGTTGTACAATGTTTTTTATTTTATTCCCTAGTTACCATTTGTATGCTTGGATGAACCTAAATACCCTGCTGAGGCTATAGATGCACATTCGACAAGATTTACCTATTGTTATTGTTGTTGTTTGTCGGGCCATATTTTAACCGTCCATGTTTTAGTACATGGATAAACCTTTCACTGTATATATAAGGCCAGGTTAAATGCAAGATATGACTGTGACCCAAGTCTTAGCAAGCATTTTTGGATAACCTTTTGTGCTAATGTCATCTGTTAAGGGGCACAACTAGTGTAAAGTTTTAAACAAATCAAAAAAAAATTTTTTTTTATTTCGGTAGATTACACCTTTGAAAATAACATATTAAAATTTAAAATCGATATCTCAAATAGTTTTTGAGTTATAACAATTTAAATAGCAGCCGCTCTCATAACAGAGCAAACGATCATTGTATCTTTAAACGCTTTTTTCTCGAAACACCATTTTCCGAATTTGCTGCAGTGATAACTCAAAAACTAATGATCCGATCACTATCAAATTTTTTTAGATGTTCTATATATAGTTCTGCGTACCATGAACCGATCAAAAATCGAATTTTGGCAGGCAAAAACGACCAAAATTTTGGTTGAAAATTCGATTTTTTTTTTTAAACGCTGCCATTTTGTCATTTTTTGATATTTTTTTTTATCGTAGTTCATGGTATGGAAAATTTTATCTAGTTTAATGAGAGTTTTTCATTTTTTGATTTCGTCCACGGAGAGGGCCGGAATCACTGCAGCAGTTAAGGCACTTTTTTTTTTAGCGCCGTTGGAGATCGACTCTAACTTAAAAAATATTTAACTTTTTTCTTTAAAAATTTCACTATACATTCTTAAAACATGTATAAATATATTCTGAAAATTTGAAAAGAATTGACCAAGTAGTTTTTTTTATAAAAATTCCCAAAAATCACCTTTTTTTTAGGCCGTCACACTAGTTGTGCCCCTTAAGCTTACAGGCTGCCATGGGCATACTCTCCTTGTTGAGAGGAGGGTATTAATGGTGCCATGTCTTATCAGCTTCTCAGTTTGCCTTAAAAGTCCGGCTGCCCAGATTCCCAGATTAGGCCGACAGAAAACAAGTTTCTGATCTCATGAATACATTAACAGTAGTCTGCTATAAGGCATGTGGTCATAATTCTTAATTAGATGAATTTCACTACAGCTTGGCTTGCACTATATTTTTATGTTATGATATTGGGAATCATCGGCAGTGTTCAGTGTCCATTATATATACTTAAATATATTATATATGTATTTCCTATTGGAAGACGTTGTACTAATCAGGAAGCCTGAACCCGGAACACCTCCCTGCGTCCCTCCCTGATGTGAATGATGTTACCATTCCCATTGCAGTCCATTGTCTCATAGGCGTAAGATGCTGCCATCTTAGCTCTTTACAAACCGACGACTTCTGTGCTTTGTAGATTAAGTACAGCGCTTAGTGCCAGAGTTCGGTGAGCTGCCAAGAGCACTGCTTATACAATGAACCTCTGATCGCTGTGTTTTTTTAAAGTTTTTTTTAGTGGTTTGCTTACAAAGGGCAGGGCACCAAATAGTTACGAAGGGGAGAAGCCAGTTTATGTGCCATGCCCCATCTCTTGCCTTTGGGTTGAAGTCCCTTAACCCTCTAAGACTACTTTCCAAAATAGTAGAAAAAAAGTTTCGAAATAATTTTTTTTTAAGTTCAAATATGTGCTTAGAAATAACACAAAATTTTTGGTTCACCTGTAAGCTGGGAAAAAAGGTAAGCGGGCCTGAAGGCACGTTTGGGGCTTTAAGTGAAAAAAACACCGGTAGCACTCCGGGAGTGCCGGCAGAAGTAAAAACTTCAATATTAACGTTGTGTTTAATTATAAGTATAAAAGTAGGGGAATGTTGTCAGGGTTGGGCCACTGTCAGAGTTGGGCCATCTCAATATTTCGAATATTCGTTCTAGTACCTTCTGTTTGTGGGTGTCGAGAAACTTCTATCGGTCACTCGAAACTTTCCACGTGACTACTTATTTCGGGATTTCATTTTTCTATGTGTCGTTGTCCTGTGAAAAATAAGTGCTCGAAAAAGTTTTTTTAACCTGGCCGAAAAGGTGGAATAACACAAGATTACAACATGTCATCCGCAAAGTGAGCATAAAAATACGTTATATAGGTGTTATATTACAAAATACTAAGATATAGTTTCATTGATAGATATATCATACTATAATAGATTAATACCGCATATCGTCAGGGTTGGGCCCCTTTTGTAGTCAGGCTTGGGCCATCAAAATTTGTACATTTTATTCGTGTATTTTCGATTTTTGTTGTAATATTTAAGTTTTTTGTAGCAAAAATATGCAAAATAAATTAAATAGATTTCCAAAAAAAAATATTTCGATGGATTGAAAGAAGATGAATCATTTTTATCTTTTTCTTTAGTGTTTCTCGCTACAAACGAAAAAACAACTCTGAATAATTTGATATTGACTGTAAAATCCCAAATATTTAAATAAATGAACAAAATAATGTCAGATTTACCTGAATTCAATTTTATTCCACCACGTTACGATATTGTCAACGATTTTCTGAAGGTGGCCCAACCCTGACTACATGGCCCATCGCTGACCACCATTTTGTTTTTTTTTTCAAACGCCTATAACTTTTTTTGTTTTTGTTTTTTTTATTCTCTATTTTTGGTGAACACTTTCTCTTGCTTGTACCTTTCCAAAAATGTATAAACTTATTCTGAATTATCATTCGTTCAGAACTTATGGACGTAGGTTCAAAAATGGCCCAATCCTGACAACATTCCCCCACTATCATTTATGAGAGAGGTAGAATACAATGTTTATTTATTGCGCTATCGTACACAAATATGGCAATTTATATGCTGTTATTTATAATATTATATCGTTATTTATATATTACATTAAATTTTATCTCTCAGAAAAATCAACTTCCATCCATAATTTCGACGACTTTTACACCATCGTTATTATCAGAATCATCATCAAATTTTTACAACTGATACAATTGGTTTATGATAACTGAAGTAAGAAACAAACAGTTTTGATTCGAACCTATTTAAGTGTAAGTACAAGGTAGTCTCGTCGGCTTTTTTCCCCCTATTGGGCACTACAATGAGTGCGAGTGAGGGGTGTTTTCCCGTAAGTGCGAAAGAAACAGAAGAAGATGATGTCGTTTTACCCTTATGCTGTGCACGGGGTTTAAAAAGGACTGTTATATGACCATGAGTATTAATTTTCCCGAAATTGTTGGTTTTTACACAAAGCTGCCCTTCAGGACTCGCTCCCATATTGTTCACATTTCAAAATATTTTTCTGCAATATTAAATGTTACGCCTTGTATGTGCTTGCTGAAATAATTGCAACAAGTATTTTTCACAAGCACACAAGGGTTAACGTTTTGAGAAAAAATCGTCCGCGGACAACCTCTCACTTCGAAATCCCGAGCGCACTGAACCATAGAGGGAAAAAACCCGAGCGATTTTGCAGCCGACGAGACTACCTTGTATAATTGTACCATGACTTAGGCACGCTAGAAAGAGTGGGAGATACTAGCTCTTCTCCCTTCCCCTCGATCTTACGCTTTTTCGATCAGCATAACGGGACCCTGACGCCAGTTTGAACATTTGAAAGAACATTTTCGATAATGAAGATTTATTTTATTTTTTCTTATGGTATTCTACAAAACAGTTTTTATTCGCTGTGAAGCATAAATGCAGATTGCATTTCGTGCATATGCATTGCGTTTGTGAAGTTTTACAGTGCTTGCAACATCTTTTTCCACTGTTTCGATCCAACCAATGTGGGTAATGGTTTAGCTGGTCAAACCGCAAGTCCGATATTGGATGCTTTGATTTTTGACCATGTTTGAGCTCATGCTGAAAAGGTCGATGAGAGAGTGGATACTGATTTTCCCGTTCTTTCGGCAAAAATGGGGAACTTATTGTTCGTCCGGACTGAGAAGATGGAGACTGGTTTGCCCATCGCGGTGAAGATGCATTGACTGGACGACCCGGAAAGTTTTTGTTTTTATAAGTCACCAGCCCTGCGGCTAGTGTTTCGCGAAAGTCTGGGAGTGCGAGTAGTTTTTTTTGCTTTCGGTTTCTGTGTGGATACGTCTGTGTAAAATATAGGCATTGGTGGCTGCCATAAAAATTATTAGGTGATAAAAAATTCGTGTTGCGGCATCCCGAGTTTTTGCTCTGATATGATACCGTCTCATTAGGCCGTCCATGAGATCTACGCCGCCCATGTGAGCGTTGTACAATTTGGGGACAATCAATTAAAATGTGTCGCTTAGCTTTTCTGTCAAAAGGAGCAGCCTTTGCAGTTCCTTCACGAGGGTTTGTCTTTTCAAATGGCTTAACACCCACATAGGTGGACAAAAAGCGAACAGGCTTGCTGTCTTTCCAGAGTACATTGGTTATGTCGACACCATATGAGGACCCAACGTACTCAGTTGAAAAACCCCTTGGCAATTTGTTGATGGCAATATCGTTAGGTAGCTTGCAATTGGGGATACAGTTTCCTCGTACCGTGCCAAGGCTATAAATACCTATCGCTCTTAGATAAACCATCAAAGGCAGAGATGTATAAAAATTATCGAAGTAAACGATGTGATTCTTAAATCGTTCTACGGTTTGTGTTAAGCGCACTACAATGTTGGCCGAAGCACCAAGATCCGGGTGACCAGGTAAGACCACATTATCACCTGCACCGCTGTTGATCTCA